ATTCGACCCAAACCGCTTCACAGATCACAAGTATGATGAATGTTGGCATGATAACTTCCACGTGCAATGAAAAAGTCAAGCGGAATACGGGATTACGGAGCAAGTCAGACGCATTGTTGCGATTTGCCGAGCATTCTGTGATCAGCAACCGAAAAAAGCACCACCGTTTTTAAACATTTGCAACATAAGTTTAAACAAACGTCGACCAGCCACGATCTTCCGAGCACAGAAGGTTGTAGTATAAGTTCATACGCGTTGCTTCGTTTACCTATCAATTATAGGCTTGTAGGATCCTTGTGAGGAAATACAACATAGTTCAACAAACGGCTTCCATACGTGATGGTGTCTAATACAAGAGCAGCAATTTAGCATAGCCATCAATTGTTATAAGATATAACATTGTAAACTTGGAGGCTGAAGAACAAAGTACCAGGTAGATTAAACCGGTAACACAGTTGTCGGATTCGCGTGATACCGTGGTCCCATAGGAACGTCATATGAGGTTTTGCACGCAAAGGGAAAATAGGCGATTTGATGCTCATCCCGCACACCGCATATCCAGTGTAAACAGTAGTACTATAACCGGCAGTTATGTGGAGAGGTGCAGTTTCATCAACTGAGCCTACCCGCACCCTTTTAACATTCGAAGCAGCAGCATACCTCTATCTAATTTGGGAAACCTGCTTACATGAAGTACACAGGACGGTGGTTCGACCGTAGCCCACTCCACACTGGATGGTGCCACCATTTGAGCTTAACTTTGTCACAAAGACGTAGCACCCAGCTTCCTACTAGCGATGACATGCAGTCTCCTGGAGGGTGGAGGGCGTTAAGTAGGTAGGCACCTAGTCAACCTTCACTACAAGAGCAGCCACTCATTACATGCAATACAAAAGGTTTAATGTATTAGTCACAAGTTCAACCGACAGACAGTTGAGATCAGCCCGTCTGAAATGACGACACATGACAAGTGCTTCAACAGTCTTGATATTGTCACATGCACAGTGGCAATGCAAATGCTGTATAATAAGGTATTCTCGCATGCAATAGTCCAAATATGTGTATAAATTACAGCTAACCGTAAGGATGAACTGTGCCCTCACGGGCAAAATAATACGACCATGCAGGGGTTGAGTTTGGAGGTAAGAAAAACAGCCATGTTCGGCATGTTACGATAACTTGCACTTGCAATATTATGTATGCAGCTAGGGACAACCTATGGACAAGCTGTAGCTGTAGCTGTGTTTTGCCTGCTTCACCAACCGGTTTTTTTAAGAACATTTTCTCAGGATACAAGCTGACTTCACCGTCCGTCGCGAGGCACAGGTTACAAGTGGAGATCCGTGGTATTGCTATGAGCTTGTCGATCGTCGCATGGCTGTGTCAATTAGTGTAGTTCAAGAATGACACTGCGCTGGACTGTGAATTAATTGCAGCCAAGCAATAGAACTAGACCATAATAGCGTGTGCAAAATACACAATGAACGTGTGGAGGAGAGACATTACATAGCAATGCAAAGTATGTGGACTGAGATAAAACTAGGGTAGTCCTAAGTCCGTGTAGTCCAATTGTCATGAGGAAGAATGGTGTGTGCAACAGCAACCTAGTAAGAAGAACTTATATGGAGGCATGGGTGTCCGGAGTAGACGGTGAATATATCTTCAGACGGACAAGTACAAGACGCTAGCTCCTTTGCAGCGAAGATTGGTAGGTAATGCTTCACTGCAATCCTAGTTTACGTAGTTGATCGTTAGCGCAGGGAGGACGAATATTCCGTCCTGACTCACCCTCCAGGATGTTTGCCGATCAACGTGTACCGTCCGCACTGCTAACTGTCCGAAGCTGATCTACTTTAGCCCTACCAACTCGTGGTGCATGGGCTTACATTGGGCCTGTTTGGCATAGCCAGCTCGTGGCTAGACCGGATGGTCTGGGGCACACATAGCGGCACGCACTACAAATCTATGTGGAAGTCGACGGTGAGATGTAGTCCGCCAATGGCTAGTGCTTGCATGCCGCAACTTGTCGTTCCTGATGCAATAGCTGTCCTTCTTGCTCTTGGGCACCGGTTCGCTTGGTAAGGTCATGCCTAAAACATCCATGAGCTATTCATCACTTTGTTGAAGCAAGTAGCAAACACCGCTCTTCTTGCTTCCGTTGCATATGAACACTACCGGTAGGACGCCTAAAAGTACTGCGCCGAAGGTTGATTGAGCTTTGGTCAAATTTTACTACCGTGTTGAAAGCGCGTTGAAATGGTATTTGTAAAATTCACTATGGGTCAAAGCCTACAGTTTGATAATCTGTCGACAGGAATACTGTTGGTGACGAAGGATGGCGCGTTAAAATGACCCGTTTGTTACCCTCACAGTGCCAGTATGCGTTACCTGGGGATGTAGCCATCCCACGAAAGAGGAAGTGGTAGCTGCAGGTGTGAAGCCCAACTTACAGTTAGTATTAACACAAGTATAGAAGCAACGAAGTAGAGAAAACGCTTATGTCTGACCTCCGTCTCTAGCAGAATGAATAGAAACGGACTCAGAAAACCCAAATGTGCAGAAAATTTGTTAAGGTTTGGATATTTTATAGATTAAAGTGGTTATCCGTTCGCCATACCTATGATTAACGATCTGAGGATACTCTAAACCATTCAGTGCACATGCAATAGTTTTAATTCGGTAGACCGTTCCGGTAGGGTAAGCTTCCCATTACCAATAAAGTGGCGATTTCCAACTAAGATAAGAGGATTTATGGGCAATAGCTTAGGTGGAAATGAAACAGCCATATCCTGCATGTGTAAGTTGCTATTAATTCGGCTATTTCCGCACAAGTTAAGAAGAATTGGACTGTGTATAGGGTTTGAAAACGATGTCTATCAATTTTTCACTATGCTTACTTGAAGTTACTAAAAAAGCACGCATGCAAAATGGCTAGCGTAGTATGTTGGTTCGATTCCTACTTATTCGCACACATGCAGTACAACTGAAGTTTGCTGTTGGGGGTAGGCAAAATCTAAAACTTGTTCATAAACATGTAGATAGAGTGTTCCAAAGGCTCTGGATATATACCGCTTGCTTCGCAAATGAAGTGCACACAACAGGCACCTAACAATACTTTATGCCCCTCAACTATCACATGCTATTAGTTTCACTAGCAAGGATCGAACGAAGCAAAGTTTCTATACTTCAATCTCTAAAGTCGAAGTGTCGGGAGCTCTGATTCGCTTATCGGTACAAGAAGCTAGACACTCATTAGGCGCAACCATGTGTCGTCCTTTATCTTGACCTGGCCTGACCTCACCTAAGATTACTGTGTGACTTATATACCGAAAAACGATTTTCCAAAATATCTTCATATATCAAAACGTTACAGCGAAACCTATTACAAATGCTAATTAGCGAGAAGCATTACGCACTCAACCGAATACATTTATCAGGAGTCGCAGAGGATCGGTCCCTGCGAACGCTTTTTGTGAGTAGAAAAATAGATTTTGACGAAGGACACGAACAAGCTTTGCGATTTCTGTGGACAGTCGCTTGAAAGTTCCCAATGCTGCAAGGTTAATAAAGGCAAACTCGGTTTTAACTAGTGAAGTATATACATGTAAGCTGGGCATTACCCGTTTACCCGAGCTTGGACTTGAGGTTATGGAGGAACCGGCAACGAAAAACACTCAGTCAGGTCAGGTCAGGTCAAGTCAGGTGGACGATAGAGGCTTCCGCCTAACGAGCGTCCAGTTCTTGTGCCGGTAAGTGAAGCGGCCCCGGCACTTCGACGTTGGATTGTCTCTTCTTGCTTCTGCAATGGAATGAAGCAAGAACAAGAGCAATCTCTGCCTTTTCGAATGCCAGCATCAAAATACACTATATATACCAGTACAACTACAATAGCTCTGGAAAAAGGATGGACCAACAATTGTCTAAGCCCCTTCTGCAGGCTACCACGGTCTCAGACTCCACTAAATCAGAAGGAAGTTTATTCCAGTAGTTAACTACTCGGTTTTTAAAAACTTTGCCCTGATGTCCAAACGAGCTCTATGATGTTTGAGCTTCAGGCGATGCCCGCGCAGATGTTCTGACGTAGCCAACTCAAACAGATGGGTGGAACTAATACCACTAAGTCCCTTAATGATCTTAAACGTCTCTACCAAATCCCCTCTCAACCTGCGCCGTTACAAGGAAAATAATCCTAAGCTACTTAGACGATCTTCGTAAGACTTCCCTCGTTGACCTTCAATCATCCTGGTCGCAAGTTTCTGAATCTTTTCTATACAAATGATGTCACTTCGGAGGTAAGGTGATCAGGCCTGAACACGATACTCCAGATGTGGCCTGACCACTGCTTTATATAAGGGCAAGAATACTTCTGCTTTAGGGTTACTCAGCGCCCTTCTAAGACGAAATAACTCGTGTAGTGCTTTGTTGGCAGCATGGGGACACAGTGCCGAAGGCTTAAAATTGTTCGCTATGATGACACCTAGATCACGGGCTTCGTCAGTACACCGCAATGATAGAGATCCCACAGAAGACTGAACGGCAATTCCGCTACCACTACTAGTCAATAGTTGACATTTGTTGGCAATTAGGTTTACCTCACATATAAAATATCCTGATGCGCCTAAGCGTCGGACGACCGTGATTCGCGAGGTATGCCGAAGTGTACGTTTACGTAGAGTCCGATGGTGAATAGAGAAGGCAGCGACGCGCACAATCACAGCAATCCAGCGGCAAACAAGGTAAAACCACGGAAGACGAGCTCGTAACCAAATGTGTGTATACAGTTAATTAAAACAAAGCTGTACAACAACTGCAGCGAAATAGATAAACGTGAAAATGAAAAATAAGCAAATTATTTACAATCGCTACAAGGTAATCTCTCGATACTAAGCCCAATACAGTGTCCTTCTTAAGCCATAGCTCACAAAAACCGGAAGCTCCATACATTATATCCTATTAAAAGTAACCTTAAACAACTGCGAAACATTGTTTTAAACAGCCAGCTTGCTGATAAAGTGACCTTCAGATCGTCCATTTTTTCTGACGCGGCGGATCGCGGCGATGTATCCCCATAATGCGTATTTCGGCATCGTGCAGCCTTATTATGGTAATGCCCTGTTAGATACGTTGCTTAACTTCAAGGTTTTGTTGGCATGACTCCTATGGGCATGCCTCCTCCCGTATCGACGGTTCCAACAATCCCTGTCACGACGGCTGTTACCCCGGCAGTGACTACCAAATCTGATACTCCACCGGTACTATCTTCCTTGCTCCCCTCATTTTGAAGCAGACTCAGTACGTTAGAGAGAAACCTCCGGTCACGACAGTTTTTGTTGGCAATATATCCGACCGTGCACCTGATCAGTTGATCAAGACGCTCCTCATGGTAAGTTGTCCAGTTCACCATAGTAATCCGTTCACCAGCGTTGCGGGAATATCCTCAGTTGGAAGAGGGTTCAGGGTGCTTCGGGAAAACTGCAAGCTTTTGGGTTTTGCGAGTTTGAAGATCCGGAGTCGACAATGAGATGTGTTCGTCTGCTAAATGGTTTTGCCGTTGGCGAGAAGAAGCTTTTGGTATGTGCCGGATTTTAATTTCATTGTGGCAGGTAAAAGTCGACCCAAAAACTGAAGATTTACTAACTGAATACCGGAAAAAGAAAGAGGCAGTTGGTGAGGAAGGCACTTTAGGTGCAACAGCTGATGAAATTGACTCATCAACTCAACGCGACGACGAAAGCGTGAAGGCTGCTCTTGAGGGAATCTTGAAGGAACATGCTTCTGTGCTCAGTGGCAGCGGTTTGTTTGTGTATTGTTTGCTCATTCTTCACAGACTCTCCTAGAAGACCGGATTCCTATCATGAGGGTCCACGTCATTTAGTGAGTTTACAGGTTTTTCTCCTGATGCAACGACCTTTTCTACGGCCTTTGAGACCATGTTTGCTGTTTATTAAAATCTCAACGCCTATCGTCTTCGTGAGATTCGCGTGTGAGTGCGCTAGAAGATGGATATGAAAGTTTGCTAAAGGTGGTGCTTAGTACTATCTGTACGCATGCTTCCGCGCTTCTCACATCCTTACGACTTCCAGCTTCCCGTAGCATATGCGATCTCCTTTTTAGCGGAGTATCTGCTGATACCTTGTCGACCTGACCTGATAAGTACTGTCGATCCACCCATAGCAGTGTCATCGACTTCCCGTGTTTTAGCGGGGCGTAACCTTTTCATTCGCGGGTTTCTGATCGCCTATTGATTCACGCTGCTCTTCATGAGATTTGCTAGTTGGTGGTAGTCTGCAGGATATGATGGATGGCAGCAATTTAGATCAGTTATAAGTAAAGCTGTATATTTCTCGACAGTGTGAGCTGCAGCCCAACTAAGTGCTACTCATTCCCCGTAGACAGCATGTGTAATGCTTTCACCCTTCCCGAGAATGGGAACGAAGCGGGCTCCCGCATAATGCTCATTGCCTTCTTGAGCAGCTAAACGACAAATTCTCGTGTATGGTACCACATCGCTGGCGACTATTTAGACAATGTGCGGTGCGCAAACGAACGGTGGTGGTCAACTAAGCTTGGAGTTGAGAATGCTCTTACAAGCGGTCCAATCGTCCCTACAGCTGTGTGCTCGATGAACAGCTATTCTTGCCAACACTCACCGAAACATCTAGCAGTTCAGATAACAAGTCCCTAGGTGAATTTCCGAACCACCTCATCACCAAGTTTTCCGATCGCTACGCAGGCTTTCAGTCGAGAGTACACAGTTCATTGGGATCTGGTTTCGAGACAGCATTTCGCCAGGTAATCAAACATCAAGGATTCGAGTGGAAATCCGTTATTTCAGGGGTCAGATTACTTGGCCGGAAGAAAACATCGATTTGTGCACGAAATTTTCTTGTTTTCCGATATCCTGAGTTATGAACTGTTGTTAATGAAGGCTGATGGCTCGCTTGATTTGAATGATCAAGTAGTATGTGTCAATAATGTAATTATTTAACATTGTAGCTTTTGAGAGTTTGAGTGTAGTGCAGCATACTAACCTCCCTGTCGGCACGAATGTTCATTAGTCGTTCCGCGAGCACCTAGTTAGCGTCCACTCTGGGTCCCGGCTAGACTTTTTCCTAACGCCAGTTGGGAACCCAAAATAATTCGCGGTGCACCGGAAATGGAATACAAGAGAACCAATGTGCACGCAAACAACCCTGCACTCAATGTTGCGCCTGCGCACACATTCACTTTTACGTTGCATCCACGTCACTGTAATGTGTACTGTATTAAATACAAGGGCCGAAACGCTTATCCGAATATACAAAATTCCTTACTTAAATGAAGGTTCCACACCATTGTGATAAATTTACGTGTATATCATCACTATACACGTTAGCTAGACGTAGAAAATACCTCAGCTACTGTGCCGCAATACAAAGAACAAGGGAGACATAGTGCAACTAGTGCAAGCCGGCTGAGCTACCAGCAACGGATAGGCATCGTTCCGGTAAGCTACCAGCCGACTACTAGGCATCAAGAAGAATTATTATGTAAAATTACATTCCGCTACGTAATGAGATCGTGGTTGGAGGGGGAGACTAAGAGTGATGGGGTGGGACAAAGAAACTCACAGCACGAACGCCACTGAGGTCGGCTCCTTGCCATGTCAGCAAGTGTATCTAGCCAAACGTGTTCACCGTCTTTTGGACCCCAACCAGGGAGCCGTGAAGCTCCAACCGAGGCCAGCTCCGATGTGAGGGCCTTCATTCCTCTCGACCAATTCATCGCTTGGCCACCCCTCTTCTTCCATCCACACCCCCCGGCGCGCAAACAACGCACATCGTGGGATTCGGTGGGCTGGCATGCGTAACACGTGGCCGAGCCATCGGAGTCTGGTGCGTGAAATGACGGTGTTGAGCAGTTCAGTTCCTTTTTCTGTGCCGTAAACAAGGCGTCGAACGCGCTCCTTACTCACGCGGTGTTCCCACCAGATGTGAGACAAGCTGCGATGGCACCGGTTGTCGAATGTAACTAGCCTCTTTATGTCCGCCGATATTAGGGGCCAAGTTTCGCAACCGCACAGTAAGGTCGAACGTACCGCAGCATTGTACACTACCCTTCGGGGCGAGAGTAATGTCGCACCGCCGCCATAGGTGGCGAAGGCTAGCAAAAGCACTTCGAGCTTTCGCTATACCGTTCGTGATCTCACCTTCAATCTCATGGGCACTGATACAACTTCCCAGGTAGTTGAATTTTTGAACGACTTCTAGCTGATCCCCACCAAGGGTCAGCGCAGGAGGCGATCCTTGCCAATCTTGGAGGAACGCTTTGCACTTCGATGGTGCAAAGCAAAGCCCGAAGCGGCTGACAGCCAGTGCTAATCTACCCAGCGCGGCTCGGCACGTCTGGGAGCTGTCACAGATGAGTGCAATGTCGTCTGCATACTCCAAGTCAAGAAGTCATTCACCCGGGAGTAGCTCCACACCTTCCAAGTCATTTCCTGTAAATGCAAACTCCATGACTTCGTCAATGGCGAAGTTAAAGAGGAAAGGTGATAACGGGCATCCTTATCTCACACCGCTGGAGATATTGAAGGGTGGCGACGGCTTGCCGTAAGCCCTCACTCTACCCGTGCTACGCGCGTATGATTCTCGGATAATATTTACATATTTTTCGGGCACACCTTTCCTGAGTAGACAATTCCAAAGGGCACATCGATCAACCGAATCGAAGGCACCTTTGATGTCGAGGAACAGGACTACGGTGAGCCGCCAATGTATGTGACGGTGCTCCAACAACTGACGCAAGGTGAAGATGTGGTCGATGTAGCCACGACCCCGACGGCACCCGGCTTGCTCCTCACGATTCTGGCTTTCACGAGCGCCAGTCAATCTGTGAAGGATGATAGAGGCGAGTACTTTCGGGGCGATGGAGATCAGACTGATTCCTCTATGGTTGCCGCATTCCGACCGCGAGCCTCCTTTGAAGATGGGAACAATAACGGAGCGGCTCCAGTCGGTTGGGACAGTCTCCTGCTCTCACAGTTTCACTAGTAATTCATGTAAAGCATCAACAATTGCAGAGCCTCCGAATTTGAAGAGAGCTGCATGAAGATCATCTGGTCCCGCGGTTTTATTCAACTTCAACAGTCAGATCTCACGTTCGACTTCTGAGCGAGAGGGTGGATCCAAAGGGATAGTCCACGGAGCAGGGCGATCACTGGCGGGTGAGGTATTGAACAATTCTGGCCGGTTAAATTACTTTTCAAAATGCTCAGCCTAACGCTCCAAACGTTTTGACAAATTGTGGATAGGCTGTCAACTCGTCACGTATAGTTTCACTAACATCAGGTCTCATGCTGCCCGTTTCCCGTATCAGACGGAATAACTTACGATGGTTACCAAGGGCAGTGGCCATTTCCATCTCTGACGCACAAAGAGACCACCAGGGTTCGCGGTCTCTCTTCAAGCTATCACGGAGTCCTGCCCGGAGCTCTGCGAGTTTTATTGTGTTCGCTTCCAGTCGGAATATACCGGCGAGCGTCGATAAGTTCCAGAGACTGCGAAAAGACCCAATGTCCATGTTGGTTATTAGACTTACCACATGGGGATTTGCCTGCTGCTAGTAAGGTCTGGTGAACATGTGACCAGTGATCTTCAATTGTATCCAGTGAACGCTTACTCAACTCTCATATCAGCATAGTTTGATAGGCATTCAGAACAGTTGACTGGTGTCAATGCGCTCACAGCGTCGTCGTGGGCGTCCGCCAAAATGCATCCGCATGTCAGCACATACAAGTGCATGATCGGAGTCCACATATGTGCTGCAAATTGAGCGACAGTTCTGGATGCATCCTCTGCAGCGGTAACTGATTACAATGTGATCGATTTGCGTCCAAGGCTGGTTCGAGGCTGGTGGGCGCCAAGTCACCCTTCGGCGATTGCTGTGTCGGAAGTTAGTGCTCGCAAGAAATAAGCGAGCATCCTCACACAAATGAAGTAATCGCTCACCGTTATCATTACGCGAGTCTGCACCGTGCTTACCTCCCAGATGCATTTCATCAGTGGACAACTTTCCAACTTGTGCGTTCACTTCCCCAGGCAGCACAACAGTGTCCGTGCTTCTTCTGTGGCGAAGGAGCTGGGTCAGTTGGCGGTAGGAGTCGTTCTTTACCGAATCATCGCTACGGTTTGTCGGCGCGTAGACAGTGATGATGAGTAGACACCTGTTATTCCCGCGCGACTTCGAAGTTTTGAACGAGCCAGCCAATCGGACTGCACACATCCGGCTACTGATTGGAATCCAATCAACCAGAGCAGCTTCAGCCCTGAGACTCAAGGCAATACCAACACCGGATTGGCCGGTGCTCGTAGCTGCATCGTCACCGGATAGGCGCAATGAGAAAATACTGCTTGCGTCACCTGAAGGGGATCACAGAGCTGGAGTCTTGTAGGCGGGTTTCCGATAAGCAGCAGATATCGATCGAGAGGGTCTCTAATGTTCGGGCAAGTGCTGCCTGTTGACCGATCTGTAGCAATGTGTGTACATTGTGGCATGCCATTCTGAAGGATGATCAAGGGCTCCAAATAGAAGCCGATGAACTGGAATGGACCGCTTGGTTGGACATGGGCTTGTCGACAGGAGAAGGGTGACGCTCCACGTTCACATGTGAGTTGAAATTAGCAGATAAACGCCAGGCGAAGCATGTTAAGGGAGGGCCAAAAATCGGGGGATTGGAAACTGGGGGGATAAAAGTGAAGTTGGAACGTAACGGTAAGAGTGAAAAAGCGTAAGGGGGGGAATAAGAAGACGGGAAGGCTTGAGCAGTGGCATCCAAACCCCTATGCACCCTGCTCGATGCAGCAGATAAGGCACTGTTGATTATCCTCTGCGGT